TTTCTTCAGCGAATTCTCAGTTCTTCGGATATTTGAAAACGATTTGAGCTGTTGGCGAGAAATGAATCTCGTCTGACCCAATACCGCCCCAATGGCGTGCCTCAGAGCTGACTTAAGCTCTTTATCAGCTAGTAATGATAGTATTAGCTAATGGTGATCCTTCCAAATAATTATATATCTACATAAGTAGTTTGAAAAGTAAAAATACACGTTTATAGAGTAAGCCGAACTAACAATTATTTTGTTTATTTTTATCCCGTTGATACTAGTCAGGATATTACAGCAAAATTATATTTATTATTAAAATTGTTGTATTGTTATCGGTCCTTCTCGATGCGTGTGCCACTTTATCGGGCGTTTGATGCCTGTAAAAATAACGTTCAAATATTGTCATCCGTCTCGTCGAACCCTCCCGATCCACAAGCACCGGTCACCATCCTTGTCGAACCCGCCGCTTGCGAAGGGCTCGGCGAGTAAATTAACCCACAGACACAGCCCACTGAGTTTCTCGCCGGATCTTCTCAGTGGGCCGCGTTTCCGATCCGGCAGTAGATTTAGCGAAGCACTGCTCTTGCTAGGGTTAGTGTTAGCAACGTCAGGTTGGAGCCCCGTGAGCTCACCTACTTGTTAGGTTACGCTGATATAGCCTCTCAAGTCTATCAGCTAAAGTAGAAAAAAATATTCAAATATTCGGTTATATTACAAACCAATACCTTAAATACCAAGCTAAGAAAGGCGTTAAAAAAAGAGAGCCTTGACTGGTTTTGTTTATTTGTAGTGTATTTAGTTGTTCGCTCCTAAAATACGACTTAACCTTTAGTAAAATAAGCTATTGTTCGCCGCCTTTGCTTAAAAAATAAATACATATAAAGAACATAATGATTTGTCCACAGTCCCGCCTGGTTCAATTTTTAATGAATAATGTAGAATGCGACTCGTAATAAAAATGTGGAAAATATATTTATTTAATACGTTTTTTCTTTATATGAATGGACTTCTCCTTAAAAACATCCTAAAGGTCACAACGAAAATCTCGCCTCTCAATTATTTTAAAAAGTGCCTCCCTTCTTAACTCCAGTTAAATAAATTTCTAGCTATGATTTAACCAAGTAAAACATAATTCAAACATTTTCCTTGAAAATTATTGTAGCTTTTAGCTTAAAAAAATCAAAATTTGACACAAAACTAATCATAATTGGTATGTGTTTAATGTTGTTAGGGCTGGGAAAAAGATTAGATTATTAACTCACCGGGAAGCTCCTTAACGCACTTTTTACTTTTTAGTCTAGAAAATGTTCAACGTAGAGTGATGTACAATATATAATATTAATTTCCTATTTAACACCGACAACGAATTCTTTTTTTTTACCGCCATTTTTTGTTTCTACTTTTTTTTTTAATGCACACATTGTTTCACTTCGAGCGTCAACAGATGGCATTAATATAGCATCGCCAAGGAATTAGGAAAAGAAAGTCCCAACAGTAATCTTTCTAAATATGTTGCTCAATGTACAGACATATTATCCTATACAGTGGATTATATATATATTCGATGTTAGTTTAAATAGATAATTTCTAGGCTAACAACTTTACCTGCATATTTAACTTTGTTGGTCATTGACCCGTTTATTTTAAACAATAAGAATTCATTGTATTCAAACCTTATTGATCTAGTTTTAATTGAAACAGCTTATTTGCATTTCTTAATTGTCAACGAACAATAAGACATACAATGATTCAGCTGTACCTCGGCCACTTCGAGGAGCCTCAATGTGACACAATTCTATGATTAAAACATTTTCGAGCTTAATCACGCACTGGTTTTAAAATTACAAAATTTTAATAGCGTTTTTGAATCACGAATATCGATACGTATGCAATTATCCAAGTGAAGCGGATCTCTTAAAGTTCGTGAAGATTACGTTGAAGCATTCCGTTATATTAATTACAGATCAAGCTAAGCAATGTTTTAAAATGATGGCTTCTATCGGACAAAAATTCTGAAGATCCTTTTGAATTGCGCAAATCGGTGAATAAGTTCTTTACAGCTTATTATATTATCTAGCCATGTGGCCTTATGTTACGCTCAACCATGTCTTAAATCACTGGTTAGTGGTTATTTAAAAAAAAAAACACATTTTGGGAGTTTTGAATTTTATTACGAAATCGATGATAGCTTTCGAGATTTGTTATTAATTATTATAATGGATAATTTTGTCGTATTTAGCATTACCCGCCTCCGGTATTTGAATGCCGGCATAGTCGCGTCAGTTGATTCTCTTACTCCGCGTGTCTTATCCTCTAGGCCAGAGGCTCCCAAACTTATTTTGTCTACTGCCCACTTTGAGAATAAATTATTTTTAGCGCCCCCTTTTTTCACCTAAACCACAATAGTGAGAGCTCAGTCGGTGTCTAGGAGTCCTCCTAGATGAAATTACAAATCGGCCAGGCCTCTTCCAGGCCTCTACACAATGCCCCCATTTTTTTCTGGGTCTCTAACCGTCCTTTAGACCTGCAGCGCCCAGAAGGGGGGTTAGCGCCCACTTTGAGAAAGGCTGCTCTAGGCCATGACTATGAGTAAAAAAACGTAAATAATAAAACAAACTTTCAAAGATAATTCATTTCAACAGTATATTATATACATTAATTTATCAAATATGTATTTTTTTCCGTGTCGTGTAATATATTATATACTAGCTGACCCGGCAGACTTCATAGTGCCTTAATCGATAAATAAAAGACCGACGGGGGACACATCAAAGGAAAAATAAAATTGTTATTTTTATTTAATTCCGAGCATTTTCATATTTATCTACCTTTTAAAACTTCTCTGGGCTTCCACAAATAATTCAAGACCAAAATTAGCCAAATCGGTCCAACCGTTCTCGAGTTTTAGCGAGACTAACGAACAGCAATTCATTTTTATATATAGAGTTAGAAGATAGAAGATATGACAAATCGTACGGCACTCCTTATGGTATTCGATCCTGTAACTCGCCCGGTGTTTGCCTTATCTACTGTCCGACTTTGATTATATATCGTAAGCGATATCACGATTCACGAATCCCACATCGACACGTAAATGTACATAGATCATTGACAGATTAATGATCACAATATTACTTTCACTGCTTTTTTTTTTAAATTTCATTTGAAAATTATAAATGAATGATATTTTCTCGCGCTACCTCAGCTAACATTGCTCACGACAAAGGCAAGATACTGTTGGCTTTTCCCCCTACCTATTCGCTTGCAGTTTAGGGGTGTTCCGGTTACGCGCGGATGGATAGGTGAGCTCACGGACTCAACTTGAGAGAATTTACTAACACTAGCCCTACTAGCAAGAGCAGTGCTTCGCATCCTACTGAGAAAATCCTGCGAAAAACTCAGTGGGCTACCTCTATGGGACTGATGGCTTACTTACTGGATACAAAGCCTACCATTGTAGTAGTCATGAACACGGACATTTCCATTGTAATAAATCACACTTTTTATGTTCTAAACGAATTCCAGTCTTGCACCTCCGACACCGTAAATAGGTAAGAAATCTTTAAACAGAAGCATCAACGCCCCTTAGGGTTCATTAAAAAACATCTATAATGAGTGGTTTGAACGATTAATAATAATAATAACTGGGAACAAATCAGGCAAGGTCATCCAATTTAGGATTCCCTGTGCTATGGGTACCAGCGACTGACAAACACCCAGACTAAGAGCAAACAAACCTGTTCATCACACAATGTTTGCACGATGCGGGAATCGAATGCACAACAGTCACTACTGCACCACGGACTCAGTCGCCCAAAACACGTCATTTCGGAACCTCTCGACCTCAAGCACCGGTCAACATTCTCGTCGAACCCGTCGCTTGCGACGAAGGGCTCGACAAGTAAATTAAACCACAGACACAGCCCACTGAGTTTCTCGCCGGTTTTTTTTTAATTTTGTTTATTGCCCTTGTAGGCAGACGAGCATCCGGCCCACCTGATGGTGAGTAGTTACCGTCGCCCATGGACTTCAGCAATGCCAGGGGCAGAGCCAAGCCACTGCCTACCACTACTTTTGTCAGTGGGTCGCGTTTCCGATCCGTTGGATCGCTTCGGAAACTGTAATTTATTTCCTGTTGATTTTTCCACTATTTAATGGATGTTATTATACATATTATAAACCTTCCTCTTTAATCACTCTATCTATTAAAAAAAACCGCATCAAAATCCGTTGCGTAGTTTTAAAGATTTAAGCATACATGATATAGGGACAGAGAAAGCGACTTTGTTTTATACTATGTAGTGATTAGATTATCAAAATAAGTCCGGAAATCTCACAATGTGGGAACACAATGGCGTAAGGCGTTGAATTCTAAAATCGAAACACAAACAAACGTCATAAAGGTCACCGCGCGCCGCCCGCGGGTCCAGCCGCGCGGCCTTGACCGCAAATTAGTTGCGTTCACTCGCAGTTCATTTCCCAACGCAACGAATCCAAAGCATAACATTTCATAAGACGCTTGCAACAGTACGAAGCGATGTTGCATTTAACTCAGGAACCCGAGACAGACGCTCGTGCGATAATAACGTGTAGTGGCAGTGTGTACGCGGTTTTACGAACGATTTAGTGCTTTTTAAGTAATTCGAATGTGCACGATAGTTTAATATTACGATTATAAAATTGCGTGAGTCGAAGAAAAGAATGACAGTCGACATGATTACACCAACGTCGTAAAGTAAAATGATGCGATTAGATTGATCGTAGTCTTTCTACTTGATTACCCAATTTATCTTTACAACGAAAAAGTTTCCTCAAAGACGAGTGAATTTCAGTTAATAATCACATTGATTGCCATTTGAAAAAAAAACAAAATGTTTAAGCAAAGGGAAACGTATATTTAAAAGGAATACAAGAAATTAGATAATTCTGAAAAAAAAAAGAATGAAAGTTTATTGAAGCCCTTAGAATCAAAAGAAAATTCTGGATTATTGGAACTACATCCAAATGAAGATATGTCCTTTTCTGTCACTACAAGTCTGATGACCTTCGGAGTGGCGCCCTGGCCGCCGCCTGGTCCAATTCCAAACGCCTTCCAGTTTCACCACCAAGGGGCCAATTTTGCTGTTTTCCTGATACTGTTTGCTCTCTGCATGATGGAGGTGGTTGTACTCAGGATCATCACGGAGGAACAGGCCCGGGAACAAGGCTCTAGAAGCGTCACCTCTATGTGGTTTGATTCCGATGACGACTGATATTTCAAGACTGAACATTTGTGTCCACCCAGCTCCCTGCAAGGACTGACCATGTAGTCATTCGATTTAAGTTCTGCTCATCAAATAAGACTAGATTAACTATTTAAGATTGTGTTAACAGCTTTTCGATGTTGCCATGTAAATAAACTCCTTTCACATTTCAAAATTGTTAGCAATCCAGTAATTGCTTTACTGTTGAATTACGCGCGGCTTCCGAACAAATTGTCAAAGGCATTTTTTTGGCAAAGGTATAAACTTTTACAGCCATCTTTTAAATTTCTTAATAGTAAAATTAAATGCATTTCTATAATTCGCCAGTGTTTCAAATTTTCTATTATTAACGCCATAGGTAGCGGTCATTATAACATTTCGAGGGGTGATACTCTATAAAATTGGTTTAAGTGACATTCCGCTTAATACGCGACATTTATCTATGTAATTGAAGGTCCGTTTTATTAGGTACTAGCTGACCCGGCAGACTTCGTAGTGCCTCAATCGATAAATAAAAGACCTAAGCTTTTGTATAAAATAAACTTATAACAAACAAAAGGAATCCGTCCGAGGGGAACACATCAAAGGAAAAAGAAAATTGCAATTTTTATTTAATTCCGAGCATTTTCATATTTATCTAACCTTTTAAACCTTCTCTGGACTTCCACAAATAATTTAAGACCAAAATTAGTCAAATCGGTTCAGCCGTTCTCGAGTTTTAGCGAGACTAACGAACAACAATTCATTTTTATATACCTATATAATATAGATTAGCACCAACAATTCGATGTTTTTAATTGAACCTCAATTAAGTTTATCGCATTCAAATAGCTGAACAACTGTTTTTGTTATGATATTTTTTTCCATAGTTGAAATTTTAAATGGCTCTCCTACAAAGTTGGAAAAATGTCGCATAAGCCATATAGCCTTTCACCCCTCGATATACAATTTGCTCTACTATGCGAGATAAAGAGTAAGATAGCTTTAATTAAATTTGATTTGTAATATTGTACTTTTCGATGAGCGTGTAGAGTAGGTACATTATTGATTGCAGCAGAATTTACTTTAGACTTATTAAATTCAATAGAATTTTTGTATATTAACAAAGAAACCAGATTGGTGAGAATTATATCAACATTAGAAAAAAATTTAGGATTAATTAATTAAAATACGAATATTTAAGAATATGTTAATGAAGTTTTTCGTAAAATACTTGTGGTCGATTGTGAGAAGCTTGAATTTTTCAGCTTTATTAAAATCGTTGTAAATACCAAATCGAATAAATGATTTTTGGATCGTGGAATTTTGGGTGAAAATTTATGGTTCTTGTCTAAGGGGCTGCCTAAAAGTTAAATGTAAGTCGACCATAACGTTCATAGACGCCAGACGGGGTACACTGAAACTACATAATGTTGTAGAATTTTTCAAGAACAATTTCGAAAAGGGCACATCTCTGAAAATGTAAAATTTTCAGGAAATGAAAAAAACTGATTATTTTCTAAAGCAGTGTAAAATTTAAAATATTAATTTTTGAGATATATTTTAGTGCTAATTAGCAATTGAAAATTACCGGAATTATTATAAAACGGGTGTAGGTAAGCCTCAAAACTACATGTATAGGAAAAAACGTATTTGACAAAATATGCGACATGTGCCCTTTTCGAAATTGCATATTCAATTGTAAAAAATGCTTGTTTCTTTGTGTCGCTTTATGTAGTCTGTAGATGTGAATATAATTTCGAGCACGAATCCTCAGATTTACACCTCAGTAAACAAAGATTGACTCCATAGAGCGCCTTGTCGTTCAGGACAAATTAGAAGGCACCAGACCACGTGGAAGGTCGCCCATGCGATGGACCTACCAAGTCAAGTCGGTAGTTGATGGTTGTCTGCATGAGTGTACCAGACTCATCACAAACCAGGAGAAGTGGCGATTGCTCGTGAAGCGCATAGCATCTGTCCACATACCCGATCCTGTGGACCGAATGGTAAACAGTCGACGTCGCCCTAAACACGTCATTACGGTTCCTCCCGATCCATTAACGGTGCTTTAAATACCTCAAGCACCGCTCACCGTCCCCGCCGAACCCGTCGCTTACGACGAAGGGCTCGACGAGTAAATTAACTCATAGACACAGCCCACTGAATTTCTTGCCGGATCTTCTCAGTGGGTCGCGTTTCCGTTCCGGTGGTAGATTCTGCCATGCACTGTTTTTGCTAGGGCCAGTCTTAGCAACACTCCCGGTTCGAGCCTCGTGAGCTCACCGACACGTCAAGGAGAAGCTGAAATAGCATCTCAAGGCTATCAGCATAGGTAGGGAAAAAAAAAACATCTACCCACAGCAATGATACTGAATGACGATCACGACCGCTCCGACAAGAGTGATACGACAAAAGAAAAAATAAGGAGCGTTGTTTTCTTTTTAATACGCTTTTATTAGCTTCAGACGTATGTATGTGTGTAACGGAATTTTTGAACATGATTTTGACCCCCTTCAAAACGTCGAATTAACTCGAAATTTGGTATACTTGTTAAGGACAGATGACAATTCAATATTTAAAAAAAAATTGAAAAACAAATTGAAATAATAATTCAACTAAAAAATGAAAGATAAATAAATAGTAGTTTAAAAAAACTAACAAAATACGCTTTTATAGGAAAATCCAACTAAAAAATAGAAAATAAATTTGAATTAAAAATAGTGTAAGAAAAAATGATTTTATTGTAAAAAAAGCGTGGGGTGCTTTTCAGGATACATATTATCAAAATAACCCTTCTACTCATATCTGTTCATAAAATATTTATAACTACTGATACAATAAAATCATTTTTTCTTACACTATTTTTAATTCAAATTTATCAAAATTTATTTTCTTTATTTTTAGTTGGATTTTCTATAAAAGCGTATTTTGTTAGTTTTTTTTAAACTATTATTTATTTTTTAATTAAATAACAAAAACGTTAAGTTTTCGACGTAGCTTCGTTCAATTACTGGAAACCGCAAGCAAATAGCTTTAGCCGAGTTCCATTTATTGCGCGCACAAATTCATTTGACCACTTATTTTTGTAAACAATGTTACTAACTTCGCCGACTCAGTTGGGCCGTTGAATACAATACGCTAAGATTGGAACTATAAAGTCTTATTGATGTAAATCACTACATAGTATAAAACAAAGTCGCTTTCTCTGTCCCTATGTATGCTTAAATCTTTAAAACTACGCAACGGATTTTGATGCGGTTTTTTTTTTATATATAGAGTGATTGAAGAGGAAGGTTTATATGTATAATAACATCTATTAAATAGTGGAGAAATCAATAATAAATAACAGTTTCCGAAGCGAAGCGAGGGCGGGTCGCTAGTCTTTCTATAAAACATTAGTATGTTTTTTTTAAACGCCAGCGTGGGCAGTGATACTGATAGCGTAAAAAAAACACCTTGGGAGTTGATTTCAGCATACTTGGAAGAACAAGACCCGCTAGTGAAGCACTGACAACGGGTTTGTAGACTTATAGAGATCTTCATAATGTCAATAAGTGCACGAGGAATCACTTTTTTTCCTACCTAAGCTGATGGTCTAGAGAGACCATCTCAGCGTAACCGGGCTAGTAGGTGAGCTCACGGGGCTTGCTAACACGAACCCTAGCAAGAGCTGTGCTTCGCAGAATCTACCACCGGATCGGAAACGCGACCCACTGAGAAGATCCGGCGAGAAACTCAGTGGGCTGGGAATCACTGGTTCGCCGTGTAACGTGTGCCGAAAGAATTTAAGACATGCGTTTTATCTTAAAGAATTGACTATGCGTCTGATATACACTTAGTCCTGTTGCGCCCCAAATGTGGTAACTTGAGTTTACTTGGACAAATTTGGATAACAGATTTCCCTGATGACTTCATAGCAATTATAACACTCTGACTTATCAATACGAGACACGTGGCAGTGTGAAAATAACTAAACTAAAAGAATGATAAGGAAAATCGTCAGCTATGACCACTGATAGACAACAGCGCGCTTCGAAGCGGCAAGATTTTGAGACGAACGGGTTTCTCGATCTTTTGAAAAATTTATGATTGGGAGTATTTGGGAGATCTTGTTTTATTTATTATAGTCCAGACAAGCGTATGGTCCACTTGATAGTGAGTGGTTATCGTCACTCATTGACGTTGCAAAGCCAAGCCGTTGTCACTGTGTCGCTGAAGGAAACCATGTCAAAGCACTAAGGAAGCACCAAAGAAGGTACTTCATCCCATAACTGCATGATACGATGCAATAAGGACCTTGGACTAGGATTGGACTTGGATTCTAGATAGTATGGTCAAACTGTGGTGGTGTACACTGCAATGATAGAAACGATATGACGGGGCCATCTCATTTTATTACTGGTAGTAGGACCTCTGGTGAGTTCGCGCGGACTGAACGGATTCGGACGTCTCCACGAGACAGGCAGTGCCTAGTGTGGAGAGTTTTTAGCAAACTGTTGTGTGTAAATGTTTTCAAAGTTAATAAATAAATAATTATTATTATTAGTCAGGACCACTAATTACTGCGCCACCGAGTCAGCAAAAAAATGAAGGCTTCATGTTTTAATCTTCAGTCGTTTAAGATTAATCAAATTGTTTACTATCGATTGTAACTAGTTACGATTGTAGGAATGTAGCTTGTGAGACACCAAAAAAATATACGAGTAATACCGTAAATTTGCACCACAGCTCCCGCGAAATTGCTCAATGCATTTCCTAACTGTGCACTGTGCAATCTCAATGCCTTTCAATTGCCATAACATACCGAATTATGCCGACAAGGCTGTTCGGTTTCTTATGTAAGCGATACATTTTATTTATTTTTTTATAGCCACGTTACTTTGTTATAAAGATCCTATTTGAATTAGTCCCGTAATCGTGGAGGCGTCCGTGTTGTTTATTCTTTTTTTTTTATTGCTTAGATGGGTGGACGAGCTCACAGCCCACCTAGTGTTAAGTGGTGGTGGACACATTTGCGTTGTGGATGTCTATGGGCTCCAGTAACCACTTAAAACCAGGTGGGCTGTGGGCTCGTCCACCCATCTAAGCAATATAAAAAAACCACCTTGAGATATAAGTTCTAAGGTCTCAAGTATAGTTACAACGGCTGCCCTGCCCTTCAAAACGAAACGCATTATGTTTCACTGGTGGTACCTACCCGCGCGGACTTACAAGAGGTCCTACCACCAGTAAAACTCCTAACGCAATAACACTCAAAATAACATTCAATAGTCTAGAAAAGGACAAATTACTGTTTTCGTGTCACTCTTAAATCAAGCGGGCATACCTTAAACTATTAAAATCGAAAAACTAAAAAAATCCTCAATTACATACATTTTTGAAGAATACCAAAAAACAAAAAAAAAACGAGCCACTTCAATTCTAAAACTGCCATAAGTAACATAGACCTTATTAATAATACAAAAGTGTTCTATAGACATGTACGTATGTAGGATTGGTAAGAACGAAAGCCCACTGAGTTTCAAGCCGGATCTTCTCAGTGGGTCGCGTTTCCGATCCGGTGGTAGATTCTGCGAAGCACTGCTCTTGTTAGGGCCAGTGTTAGCAACACACCTGGTTTGAGCCCCGTGAGCTCACCTACACGTCAAGGAGAAGCTGATATAGCATCTCAAGGCTATCAGCATAGGTAGGAAAAAAAATGAACGGAATGTTTGAAGAGTGTGGAACAAAGCGTTAAGATGTGAGTGAGAGAAAACGGTAAGAAAGGGAAAAGAGAATGACAGAGAAAAGAAAGATGGCGAAGACGGTTAAATGGGCAAGGCGTAAAAAGGAGTCGGATAATTTTTAATTATAATAACGAAAGATTTTGGAACACTGGAATAATTTATTTTATGCGTTGCGATCCCAATACATGTATGCAAATGATTATATGTTAGTATTTCCAAAGACTAGCCCGTTGAGTTTATTTTGACGATTCTTTTAGTCGTTATTTCGGCTATTTAGGAACCGGTTCTAGAAGTAACAAGCTTTGAAACTCACCAGGTATGTTTCGATGATATCTATATATTAATACGTGAAGCAAAAACTTTGTATCCCTTTTTACGAAAATTGCGCAGACGGAGGAGTATGAAATTTTTCAAACTTATAGAGAATATAGAGAAGAAGTGCACAATGCTAATATTTTTTTAAAATAATGCATAAAAATACATTAAAGCAATAAAGAAAACATTAGACACACTACATACCATGTATTTGACGCACACACACATACATGCATACTATTTATTGTCAAACTTTTGTTCTTGACGTCTGTTGTCAAATTGAGATTAAATATTGTTAAATATTGTTTGTCTTCGTTAATATTTTTTATAGTGTAGTCTTGGCGAAATTTGTGATTATAGAAGTATAAAATACAATGATAATAGTGTACAAACTTATAATTCCAATTAATTATAGTCGAATTTCGACTACTGCGGGACCTCTAGTTTAAGTTAAAGTCTGTTATTTGAATTTGAAAACCTGGCATTAAGACGGCGTAGTCTGAACGCCTTCACAGGTCTACAAACAAGAGGTCGATTCGAATTTATTTATTTCGGGTTAAGAGAGAGGAAGATTGGACAGTGGTTAGTTAGATCGGCAGTCTTAACACCTGGGAATGGATTACTGATTTACGCAAAGAGAAATAGGAAGCTCGTTTTTTAAAACAAATTTTACGATTTAAAACCGCGTTTAAAATTGACATTTTATTATTTCCGACACTTCGAATACATTTCCATAGTCACGGATGACATTCAGTTCGTATTGTATTATAATATTTTCAGTTATATCTACGACTCACGAAACCCAAAGAAGAATCTTGTTGTTATCTCGCAACAAAATTATTCCAGCCGTGGGCTTCGTTACTTCGTAAATTTAATTTTAGCTATATTTGGACTAATTAACTCAAAATGCCAACATTATTTGCTGTACAATTCACGTGGTGCAATTCTATGTCAGTCTAAACATGATTCGTTAATTTTAGGGGTGCGGTCACAATTGTAGCAACCTTATGATGACGACTTGGAAGCGGAATACCATATTATCCATCTTGAAACATAACATTCTAGTTGATCTAAATTAGGTTCACTGCTGATACTTACATTCTGACTAAGAGCGCGCTTTAAAATAAAAATATACGCGTGGACATAAAAAAGGATTGTCTTTTAGCCAGACCAACAGCCCACCTGATGGTGAATAGTTACTGTCGCTTACGGACCACAGCTGTTCCAGCGGAACAACCAAACCTCTTCCTACTGCTCAAGACTCTCTATAAAACTCATTTGGAGAAGGACATGTATGCGCTCGGAAAATACCGAGCCCCTCCTGTCCATTCATTCCAGAACCAGACGGTACATGGCAGATGATATCTCTAGTAACACACTGATGATAAACGCGGCGGTTCCAGATAGCTTGGATGGAATCTGTTAATATGGCGAGCGGTGCGATCATTTTTAAAGATTCCTAAGAGCTCGACGAAGGCTGCCCATGCGATGGACCGACCAGATCAAGTCGGCAGTTGGCGGCTGTTTGCATGAGTGAACCAGGCTCACCACAAACTGGTGGTAGGACCTCTTGTGAGTCCGCGCGGGTGGGTACCACCACCCTGCCTATTTCTGCCGTGAAACATTAATGCGTTTCGGTTTAAAGGGCGGGGCAGCCGTTGTAACTATACTGAGACCTTAGAACTTATATCTCAAGGTGGGTGGCGCATTTACGTCGTAGATGTCTATGGGCTTCAGTAACCATTTAACACCAGGTGGGCTGTGAGCTCGTCCACCTACCTAAGCAATAAAAAAAAACCGGGTGGAGTGGCGATTGCTCGTGAGGCACATAGCATCTGCCCCCGCAACCGCTCTGACAAGAGTGATACGACAAAGGAAAGAGCTCTTCCCATGGAACATACCATAAAAACACAAAGAGACTGTAGACCTAGGGAGATTCCAAACCATTAAGCAATATAATTTAAAATAAATATTAAATATATTATAATCAATATAAGTATGTAATTACTTTTTGTTTGCAGAGAGTGTGATCAGCGCAAGCGATGTTCAAAGTCTTCGAGAGAGTACATCTGTCGTAGATGTGGCGGCGACACAACAGGAGGATTCGTGCCCTGCATTTGTAACTCGCGGTCGCAGTAAGTGCTTCCCAGTAGTAACATCCTTCTTAATAACAACAAAGACGGGGACTCATAAAGTTTCTTAATACTCAAGATTATTCAACTTGGCTGTGCCCCTGGTATTGCTAACGCCCTTGAACGACGCCAATTACTTATCATCAGGTGGTTGGTTGGCTTTTTTTTCGGGCAGGGGTATCTTGCTCTTGACAACCAGCAGATGTTGAGTGCAGACCGCGGCCCAAAGTTGTTTTAGGGCCCTACCCACCAAACGACTCCCTTTGCACTCTCTGACCCGACGTCCGATTTCCGCTCGGGGTCAGAACCAGCCTTGTGGTTGGTTTTCCCAAAGACGCAATAAAAAGAGGAGATTAGCAGTGGATAAATCATTAGAGAATGTCACACGAATGTCGTGTCATTCGTTTCGCCTACGGTCTGTAACCCAGTCGAGGTTACTAATAATTATAATTTACGTTAGTGTGTTGATTTGTTTGTCCTTGGTCTCGTGTGTGTCTATCCGATTATGTAGAAACAATAGGTTATCGGTACGAAGTGCTAACACTACAAGGGAAATCTTGATTAAGTACCTTCAACGTACGACAGGTGGCGCCCTGTAGTGTTTTTCATACATACTTTTTTGCAAGCAATAACAAATTATTGATTAAAATAATCTAAGCCAAGGTGGCACGGATCATAGTGTTGACCGCGGTAACCCCTAATCCGGGTTCTGAACTTCTGATCTCCCTCGGAGGGGATCGGATGCTTGGGCAAAGAGTGCAGGGGAGTCGTTTATTGGGTAGGGCCCTGAAAACACCCTTGGGCCCGCGGTCTCGCAGTCGCGGACCTGTCCCACATAACCTGCACGCTCTTTAGGTGCGTGGGGACCTCGTAGGAGGTTCAGCACCCAGTCCGAAAAAAAAAAAGTTGGCACGGATCATAGAGCCCAGGGTGAAGCCCTGGAAGAATACTTGAATTATTCTTACGCAGTTGTTTATTTTTATTGAACAAGTCGGAAAAATCGTGAGATTATAATCAGCGTATTTTAATATTTAGAGAGGCGAAATTTGAATCCGGCGCATGGTTCCTGAGACAAGTGCAACAAGCGCTCAGCCTCATGCCGTGGTCTATATCGACCGAGAAACTTGAGCAGATTGGTAAGTGACCTTTTTTCATTTTCACCGTTTCATAAAACGCGTTGTGAAGAGATAGACAAGATCATGTAGAACTCATGAAATAACTCTCTCGGTGCGTAAATTTTAAATATACATAATAGAAAAAACAAAACTGAAAACTATATAAAAGTCAAATATTTATTATGATTTTTTTTTTAAATATCTAAATAATAATCGCATCGTTCTGCCATCTATACACAACTATAGAACTAAAAATAATTCTAATGACGTTATCATCTCTATGTTACTATTTAAAGCATTTAGTTTCTACAAACACCAACAGATGGCAGGCATGTTAAAAAATTAAAATATGCAATTTCTGATTCTGTATGTACTTAATGCGAGTTTTTAAACGTTCTCGATAGCGTAAAAGTTAACTGATATGGTTTTGGAACGTTTACCTTCGTTTGCCGCTAGGGGCGCTGTTTCAACTGCATACAAATTTCAGTTAACTTTTACGCTATCGAGAACGTTAAAAAAAACTCTCACTAAGCTCACTGACTTCTGATTCTAACAGACGAAGAAAATGATGACCGAGATGGTCCAGGGCCAAGCGAATTGGCTCACAAAGAACTTCGGACTATACGAGAATTCTTAGAGACGCTGTCAGGAAAGTTAGCCGGTGGACACCTTGAGAGAACTAGGATCGGTCCATTGTACGACCACCCTGCCTGTGAGTATTGTTATATTGAATTATATTAATTGCTGTTAAGATAGTAATCCTAGTTGAAATTGAATAACTGCTTTAAGAATGTGATTTCGATAAATTATGCACGGTAGTTTTCAATGAGTATTTTATTTTTACGAAGCTTTTTTTCGAAGGAGTTGCAATTCAGAGATAGTAAACTTTTACCTCATTTCATTAACCTTGTGCACACAAATAAATCATACTAATTGTCTTTACCATTCAAGTACCTGATTGTAAACATTTACTAAAATTGTTGACCCTTACAACTAGAATGAAATCATTTAAATATAGTTTACATTGAATAATAACAAAATTTTTAATCCTCGAATTTTAAGATTGCACAAAGCGGGAATGAATTGCTCGCTCCGGGCATTTCAATATTGCAATAATTGTTACGTTATAATACATCTTGTAAAAATGAATATTTAAAAAAATCTAATATTTAAAAAAAAACAAGACATGCCCGCTGAGTTTCTTGCCAGTTCTTCTCAGGACGGAGGCTAGTTTTTGTGAATTAGCGGTAGTTCTTTTTGACGTTCAACAAGTGCGTACTTTCATTTATGTTGAATAAAAATTTTTGATTTGATTAGATTTGATAAGCACGAGGCTATACCGTAAAATTGTTTTAATTAATGTGAGTGACTGAGATGAGTTTGTGATAAAATTGCTTAGATGTACTTATGTTCGAGAGACACCACTCAGCGCTGCGCATCACGTTAACGCAGCTCGCCATCGCGCTGAGAGACGCGCTAACACGTAAGACAGCGTAGCGCATGCAGTGCTCATATCCTAACACCCCTTGCACATAAGGCTTATTGTTGCATGCACGTTTTGCATGATTTTAATTGAATTTATTAAGAATGTTTCCTTGTTTTACGGATTGAGGTTGAAATAATTTCTTATTAAACAGTCAACTAAAAATGATACGCAGTGATAAAATGCAATAAAATTAAATGTCTATTTCATTCAACTGCAACAACTGTCGTGAGTTTGGAATATTTATGAAGAAGTTTTCCGGGATATAGAAACAGTATCTAGCGATATAGAAAAGAAGAAGATATAGAGAAGAAAAGTCCATATAGAAAAAAAAAAGTATACTCTTCATATTATAACAAAATTAAATAGTATATAATCACTTTAGAAACATTACAACGTCAATGAACAACAAATGAATTTGATGATTCACGATTATAAAAATCAAGCTACAATACCTAATTCCTCAACAACAACAAAACAAAAAAGAAAATCATAATTTTTTACGAACAAAATTATGCGAACAAAAAACTCCAAAAAAAAATTATAATGTTTTCCACATAAAAACTTTCGGTATAAAACAGTCTAACCATCGTACAAATAATAATTAGTTGAACTTTGGATCCTTAAATGGTATTGAGTAAACAAGTTCAACGACCTCTCAAAGAGTCAGTCAGGTAGGTAGGTACTCACGCGAAATGGTAATTCTTTTTGCTTCGATCCTCAAACTAAAAATACTTTAAGCGGTCCTCTGTTGTGTCAGTGCTGGTATGAAAGAAGGCACCCAATAATTTATCTACACATCCTTTTAATACAGACTTTATTTGAATGTATAATCAAGGAATCGTATCCAATACAAACGATTTAAAGTGTATGTTTTTGTCGATTGATAAAATCGATTATATTTCGTTTATAATTGCTTTTTGTTTTTCAGTTAATTATTATTAATTTAAACTTTTTTTATTACAATGCTAGCTCGCGGTTTATCTCGTGTAAAGTCGTTACCTGAGCCCATGGACAAAACAACATTAACATATCCACTTGCCTTGAGACATTAAGTTTCAATTATATAACGATTGTCGCATGTTGATTCAAAACGAAATCCCACAACGAAATAAACCGCAACCTGCTTTCCCTAGAAGTCGTCGTGGCCTAAAGGATAAGACGTCCGGTGCATTCGTGTTGAGCGATGCACCGATGTTCGAATCCCAGGCAGGTACCAATTTTTCTTACGAAATACGTACTTAACAAATGTTCACGATTAACTTCCACGGTGAAGGAATAAGATTACTGGTGGTAGGACCTCTGGTGAGTCCGCGCGGATAGGTACCGTCTCCCTGCCTATTTCTGCCGTGAAGCAGTAATGCTTTTCGGTTTAAAGGGTAGAGCAGCCGTTGTAACTATACTGAGATCTTAGAACTTATATCTCAAGGTGGGTGGCGCATTTACGTTGTAGATGTCTATGGGCTGCAATAACCACTTGACACCAGGTGGGCTGTGGGCTCGTCCACCCATCTAAGCAATAAAAAAAAACAAAAATAAAGAAAACTCGGCAGTGAAACGGCTCGAAGGTCTGTCCATTGGTAGCTAATAACATAGTCACTTGACACCATCGTTAAGTTTGAAAACAGATTATTCGATACTCTGAACAATACATTGTCGTATTTAGTTCCACATATTGTAGTTTTATTTGCGAGTTACGCGGCTCTCACGCTGAATGGACTGTGTCTGTGCAACTATACATTTTTAACTTACCTTTAATGTTATGTAAAGGAGAATATAATATTGTATGTAATAAAAAATACTAGCGGCACGCTCCAGCTCCGCTCGGGTCTTTAACAAAAATTTCAACGATATTTGACGTTGTTTTATTTTTTTAAATAAAAGAATACTTATTGTGGCATAACTGTAATAGTTAGACATACGCTGTCACGATACTTTTTGTAAATAATAATGTGTTCTACAAAGTCGTAGTACATTATTTTATTCTATCATCAATAGTTTTCGCAGGGCATGCGATGTAAAAAAGATTTTAGGTCTTTTTTTTACACCTTGGGTTACATTATTGAAGTTTTAGTAAGGATCCCTATTTTTTTTTCAAAAAATATTATTGCCTGTCACTCGGGAATAGTGTAGCTTCCAAACGGTGAAAGAATTTTTCAAATCGGTTTAGTAGTTTTGGAGCCTATTCAATACAGACAAACAGACAAATGTTTCCTCTTTATAATATTAGTATAGATATAGATAGTATAGATATAGATAGTATAGATAGAAGAATATGTGACGTCTTCGAAACATTGGAACGGGGAGGGCTATTATGGACAACTGCTTGCTCTCGACCGAAGATTGAGGGAGTGACTTCTAAATGGTAATCTATTTTAATTATCGAGTTTTGGGTATTATGTTGCTTTGTGACATGAACCCACCTTGAGGTCTGAGGTTCAGGTCTAAATTAGATTGTTTTAGTCGCTCTCTCGCCCTTCAAAATGGAACGCATTTAATTGCTTTCCAGCCAAAAAAGGGGGAGAGTAACAAGGCGCCATTTTCGTAAGATTTCAATTACTTGAATCAAATTGAACGAAAATACGATTTTTTCATTTGCATTGCAAAACAACAGGTACTCACTCAGCTTTGCAATTCTACTACCACTTGAAAGCGTCGTAAATCTTATTACAGGCTTTTAAAGCTCAAAGTTAACTCCAGGTTATTATGCTTTTTTATTGCGACCAGTCGACCGTGGGACCGCTACGCCAGACAAAAAGTAAATCTAGAAATATTGTTGCTAAGGTACAAGGGCTTAGCCGTTGTACTGTTTAAAGTGAGACCTTATAACTCATATCTCAAAGTGGGTGGCGGCATTTAAGTTGTAGATGCCTATGGGCTCCGGTAACCACTTAGCACCAGGTGGGTCGTGAGATCGTCCAACCATATATGCAATAAAAATAAAACAACACTACAAACCTGAACTGGACAATAGTATAGATGTAGGGTAGTCTATATCACTTCTTTTGCGATCTGAAGATCTACCTAAGCTGAAGGTCTTGAGAGACCATATCAGCGTAACCGGGCGAGTAGGTGAGCACGGGGCACAAACCTGACGTTGTTGCTAATACGAAACCTAGCAAGAGCCGTGCATCGCAGAATCTACCACCAGATCGGAAACGCGACTCACTGAGAAGATCCGGAAAGAAACTCAGTGGGCTGTGTCTGTGGGTTAATTTACTCGACGAGCCCTTCTTCGCAACTACGTCTTAACAATAAAAGAAAAACAAACCAAGACATACGAACCTTTTTTTTTTTTAACGCTGGGGAATCCATTTACGGATACCCGGTCGAGGGGGGTAACGGACCGGGTTATGTCGGACTCCGGTGCCTCCTGAGAGGAAGAAGGGGAGAAGAGAAGGGCCGAGGTCCTTAACCTCCCCCAATTTCTCACAGGAGACCACGCCTTGAAAAAGGCGCGCGAAGCACTTGCCCCGCAGAACGACTACCGACTAAACCCCATCGAGCTCCACCACACCGACTACACGAAACTTACGGTACCGCGATGCGCGCCGAAAAGACATACGAACCTAGGCTGTAGTATTGTCATGCGATAATCCCACAAGTACTCCAATCATGAACTTCTCCAGCAAAGGGACTTGTAACCAAACTATAAATCACATTATATTCGTACGTATTAATAAATAAAAAATGCGTTTATTTCAGGCCACTTAAGCCCATAAAATTTCATATACAATTACATAATATTTAAATCAAAATAAAATAAAGTTTATCAGAATTATTGAAAGGTTACTCAATATAAGTTTACTTAGCGATTATGTATTACCAAATATTATTTAGCACGACGGACTAGGTACATGATCTTTTCGTTCGGTTGCTGTAATCATAACAGGTGTCCGTTCTCTTCGTGCGTATTACTTATACTAGCGGCGTAAAGCTTAAGATGGAAGCGGTTTGTCAATTTATCGTCTTATGAGTCCGCACGGGTAGGTACCACTGCTCTGCCTAATTCTGCCGTGATGCAGTAATGCGCTTTGGTTAGAAGGGTTGGGCAGCCGTTGTACTGTTAAAACGGAGACTGGAATTCTAGTTTCACAACGTGTTTTCAGTAGTTTTTATTCTGTTGAAAATTTAATAAAACTTTAAATGAAGCATCACTACTTAACTATTTATTTCTCTCGAACGCTCGACGTTGGTCACTTAACCGCCTGCTCTATCGTCATCCAACAACTAATTCTGCAAACCGCTAGCGCTCTTAACTTACGGCTCTCGTCTTATTGCCGATAACATCAATGTGCGTTTAGGCGCAGAACGATCACCAAGGGACCACGTGTACGTGCCTCGATTATTACATAATTTACTATAATTATATAATATGTACGTATCACTCAAGTAGCCCTTCTCTTGTTGCGAAAATTATAATTTTTATTTTAGACAAGCTCCAAAATACACCGGCCGTTACCTTGTTACTGGAGTTTATAGTAACCATAAACAAATACTGCCTTGTAACCTTGAGATAATGCAAGTTGCACCCTTAAAACCGGCACGCTTCGCGGTAGATGTGAAGAAGAAGGTACAGGAGATATCAGGATGTTGCGTACTTATATCGCAACGGTGTCACCGATTTCAAGGTATCGACACAGGGAAGAATTTCCGTCGAGCCTGTGAACGAGCTTTCGAACCAGACGGTTAAATGGTCAAGAAGCCCATAAACATGATCAGTCATCACTAAAGTGTTGCCACACACCTTGAGATATATGACCGATGTCTATTGTATTGTGAACTGGCTGTCCCAGTCTCCAAGCCGGAACGTAGAACTGCTTTGCGATAGATAAGAGCAGGATGGTGGCACCTGCCCATACGGGCTTACAATCACTAGCTTTATAAAAGTAGCAGATAGGTAACAGTAACACTTGGCAACAACGTCTCTCTATTTTCTAAGGCAATTGGCGGTTTACTTATAGAGAACTGGCAGGACTATGCCAGAATGATGATGTCCA